TTGATCCCATTCCCCACTCCACCCCCGCAAAATGTCTCTGGTATAGAAGTGATTTTTTTTTTTACTTCAGAGATTCCCTGAAAGATCCTCAGGGACCACCCCCCAAGGTTACCCAGCCATACTTTCAGAGCTGCTGGCTTCTGCCAATGAGAACCCTCAAAGAGCCAGCAGTTGGGAAATTTACCTAAACTGCATGGTGCATCCCTGCTGGAGAGTGTGAAGAGGATGCTGATGGCAACCACATGCTTCCTATCAGTGACCAAAGTACACAAAGAACTAAAGAGCTATCAGTGACCAAAGTACACAAAGAACTAAAGAGCTACAACATTACAGTGGATGTCCCAGACTTACAATTAATCCAACCTCTTTGCTACTAAGGGTCCTAAAGCTTCTGAGACTAGTCAGTGAGAGATCCAAGTAAGATTTTGAGATCTAGTGGCTGACCCTAATCTATGGTTTGGGGATCTCAGTGTTAATCCCAAAGTGCTAAGGACTGCTTCCTAATGGAAGATAAAGTGTTAGGTAAGAGCTCACCTTGTTGCACAAATGGGCAGGTCTCTCTCCACAACTAGAGCAAAAGGGGTATGCAGTCATGTGTTCAGCCTAAGCTTGACAGCCGTCCTGTTAGACAGGCACAGGAGGCACTTTCAAATGTACTTTTCCTTCACCCCCATTCTACACCCACTTTTCCAAGCCAGGGAACTGCTGATCCCCATTGCAGAGACAATGCTATCAGGGCCTGGCTTAATGGATAAGGGGTATCTGGGAGAAAAGGGGAAGAGCATTTTAGTCAAAGACAGAGGTAAAGAATGCCTGGTCAAAGGCGAGAAAATAACAAAAATAATGAACAACCATATACCAGAGACATTCTGTGGGGGCGGAGTGGGGAATGGGATTAAAAACGGGGGGGGGGGAGGGAGGGAAATGTACGGGACTATGGTGGTGGCACAGGGGTGATTTGGTGATGGGAAACCCGCGGGGATTACAATCAAGATGGAAAAAAAATGTGCAAAATGATGTAAAAATAAACTTTATAATAAAAAAAAACAAAAAACTGAGATGAAAAAAACCCAAAATAATGTAAAAATAAATTATTATATTATTTAAAAACAAAAAAAAACAAAAAAGAGAGTACTTGTAAATAAACAAGACTATTTGTTTATAGTTCTTAGCATACAGGAGTTATTTAATAAATAACTGTTCCCTCTGCTGAAAAAAAAAAAAAAAAAGAATGCCTGGTCAAGCTGGCAGTTCTGGGGGGAGGGGCTGGTCTCCAAGAAAGAGGGGGTGAAGGTCCAACATTGTCCTTGCAGTTGTTACTAACCCAGCAGCTGTTCTTTCTAACCAGGTTCCTTCAACTCACTGAACAGCTTTTCCTTCCATCTTTTCAAAATGTTCCAGTATCCTCACCTAAGACTATTCCTCTACCATTTCTGCCGCAAAACCCCTTTGGGAGGTGTGAACACAAGAGTCCGGCCACGCTTTCCTAAGATTTTTCCTTTTGCCCTTTTGTTACCCAGATAGTGACATTTCCCTCAGCCTCCCCCTTCACTGGGGAAGAGCACAAGGGCTGTACAAACCTGCTGTAAAAAACAGGCACGTCTCTCCATTTATGCAAATACATTTGGCTCGGTGTCTAGGGTCTTCTTTACAAACCCGAATCGGAACCGTTATCATTTGCGTCCTGGTCAGAGAAGTCCTACGTTAATCTGAAAAGAAATTCTGAAAGCAGACCAACTTCAACAAGCCCCAAGGCGCAGAGGTGTGGGCAGGTGCATAACATACACTTGAGTGTGTCCAAAAAGTAGCATATCAGTGCTTTAATTTTTTTTTTAATTCTGAATTTTGGGATTCACTTATATTTGTACTATTAAAAATTGTACGACTTTTCATCTCTGGAATCACGGCACTCGGGTGTTACAGATGTGATTATTCAAAGCGCAGGTTCTGAAGCGGATCTTGCCACTAACGGCCCTTAGTGGTTTAGGGTAACATCTGTTCATTAGGCACCAATTACTCATCAACAAAAATAGTGGGGGATGACTACGATCTTTCTTCTCGCTTACACGTGGAATAACACAAAGTTGTTCTCAAGGTCCCCAAACAGGCCCAGGCTGTCTCGCGCTAGTCTCCAGAGTCCCAGCAACTACAAGCCAGTGTCAGAGGAGCAGTGCAGACCAGTAAAGCCCCTTCCTCCACCCACCTGCCATCTACAAGACCTCTGCACTATGAAGGCCAATAACCGGTTTAAGCTCATCTTTGTTCCTTCCACCCTGCAACTCCACGCAGAATTCCAGAGAGCAGCGGACACCAGGCCCTTCGCTACTGCCAGCGCCCCAGCCCCATGCTCCCAGCTTGGGGCGGTGGGTTCCGCTAACCCTCCAGGGTGCGGGGGTCGGCCGTCTGGGGGCGGGTCACTGCGGGAGCCCTAGCGCGCTCGGATTGGCCCCTGGAGCCCACGTGACGCGCGGCCCCGCCCCCACGCCCCTCCTCCGCCTCCGCGCGGGGGAGCTCACGGTCCTGGACTGAATGGGCGCGAGGCGAGCGCAGGGCGCGGGTGGGGGCGCGGGGCCCGCGCGAGGCAGCCGCCGGGCACCCCCTCCCTAGTATGCGGACGAAGGCATCGGGCGGTGCGGAGCGGCGTCCCCTGCGGCTACAAACCGAGGCGGCGGCGGCGGCGGCGGCACCTGCCGGCCGAGGTACGTGGCGCAGCCCCCTGTACGGCGTAGCCTGGCCGGCGGGCCGGGGGCGGCAGCCGCAAGCAGTCCCTGCGCCGGCTGGACTGGGCGAGGCGGCTCCACCCCAGCACCCCCCTCATCCCCTAGCTCCGCGCAGGGAGCTGCGCCCCCTGATGCGTCTGGCAGGGTCTGGGAGCTGGAAGTCGTGGCTCCGGGCTGCGTGGACGCTGCTGGGGCGCAGGCGGCGGCCCGCGCAAGTGTAGCGGAGGTGGGGGAGCATGAAAGGATATCAGGGGTGTCAGATCCAGCGGCACTGGTCCTACCCCCCACCCACCCCCCTACCCCCCCAGCTTTCCGCAGCGACTCGGGGTTAATTCATTGCCAGAAGCTTCGGAACCATCGGAACCATTAACCCATTTCCCCAGGTCGGGGTTGGTGTGTGACTGCAGTGTAACTAGACTCCGCAGATCTGCCTTTAGAAATTCGCCAGTGGCCTTCCCTGCCGACTATCTGCGACGAGTCCCGCCAAAGAGACACTTGTGGTGACCCTTTGGTTCTCTGAATTGTAAGCTTCGTGACTGTTTGGGCAGGCATTCACTGTTTTCGCGATCAGTGTGTGAGTAACGCAGGGTTTTCAAAGAGCATCTCAGAGAAGCCCAGTAATGGAGAGAGAAGGGGCCCTGCCCTACCCTACACTTGTGGACTGACCTTGACCTTCACTGATCCTCCTGTAGGGCCCCATCTGCTTTGTGCTGGTGGCCTGAGTCCTTTGAGACCCCCGGTTCCATGGTTCTGACTTCAGAATGGGTTTAGGAGTAAAGCTGGTCCAAAATCACTTGCTGACTTGAAAGACAAATTTTTGTCCCCATGTCATAATTTGTGTACATGGTTTTTGGCTATTAAAATGGCTTTAGCTGTGGAGTTTCAGCTGGTGCCTTTGAGTGGTGGGCTGTGCCAGGCATGGTGCTGGTGGTTAGGTTACGGGGAGGAGGGAGACTTGCCTCCTTTGGTGCTTATCTGAGCCTTCTGGGTCTATGATTGTTAATCCTCTTTCACAGAAGAATGCAGGTAGTGGAACTATGGAAGAGGAATCCATATCTGTTGAGTAAAGGACATAGGCGCAAAAAACAGCCTGGGTTATAGTTCCATTTGTGTAATCTTGAAAGCTTGAAGGTTTAGGGAGTGTCTTTCATTTCTACTTGCAGAACCAGGGGATCATCAATAGAGGAGAAATCCCAGGATTTCAGCCATTCTTGGATAAGGAGAGATGGTATGTGAACTGGAAGAGCACTGGAATCAGTATCTTAGTTTATAAGTGCTGGTTTTTAAGTAGGATGAAGTGAACCTTGGGTATTCTTGGTTATGATTCGTTGCCATTCTTACTCTAGGCAAGAAAGAAGTGAGTGAGATGGAAAGGCATGAAAGAGTATACTAGGAGAATGGGGGGGGAGGCAATGTTTTTTAGAAATAAATTCTAAAAACTTGTATTTATGACTACCTGCTTTGAAATGCTTATAATTTCGGCACACACTGCCGCTTTGTCTTAGTTATCAGAAAAGTAGTGAATTGGTAGTAAATTTTTTTAAAAGATGTTTGTTCTTGCATACAGAACTGGGGTACAGGCCAGAGGTGCAGGTGCAGTGAGAGGCTTCACCAGAGACAGAGTGGGGAGCAGAATAGGCTGAAGTACGTTGCTGAGGGGAGCAGCAGGAGTGTCAAGAGAGGTCTGCAACCCTTGTGAGTCACTTCTGGGGCAAGGATCAAACTCATGCTGAAGTGGCTTTAGCTTCTTAGTGCTGTGCTTTAACCCGCTGGCCACCAGGAGGGCCCGAATTGGTAGTAAATTTTAAAGCTATTCTCAAGGCAGAAAACCCTTTGTTCTTGGATTTGCTTCCTCCAGTTCATCCCTGCTCTCCTTGCTTGGATATTTAGCAGCAGTTAGAGCAGGTTGGCTCTTAGGAAGTGATTGGACAGTAAAAACTGGCCCCAGGTTCTGAGTCCAAGTTCCTAGGAAAAGGGGCGAGGTCTGTTATCCCTACCCTTCTGGCTCCCAAGGAGCCCTTTAATTCCATTTGCTTGTGGAGATAAGGAGGACTGAGATAGATCCCAGAGGCACACTGTGTTTTCAGTCTAGCTGGGAGAGCTGGGCAGAAATGAAAGATCTGTGAATATATGCACATTAATGATGGTGCAAACTCCCTGACTGCTGAGGAAAGAGAAGTGGGGGCTGGGTCAGAGTAAGTGGCATAAGTTAGCAAAGGTCTCCAAAAGGGCAGTGAATCCGGCCTGGTGAGAGGAAGCCATAAATATGGATGGTGACAGACAGGCTCTGGGGAGAAAGCACTAGGCTCAAGCACACATGCAGAGGTGGGGCTGGCTGACTGTGTCAGAGGGTGAGGAGAAATGAGATGAGAGGGGTACAAGGACCACACCAAGCTTCTTACTTTAACTATAGCTTTTCCCTTTCCTTTCCTTTTTTTTTTTTATATAGTGTACATATTAGAAAATTAGATACACCATCAGTGTATTGTTTAACAAATTTTCCAGACTGAACACATCCAGCATTCAGCGCTCAGATCAAGAAGCAGATACTCCCTTCTCTTCCAATTGTTACTCCTCCAGGACCCCCAAACTTGCCTCTGCTAAATAGGTTCTGCCATCTAGTGCATGGAGACAGATATAGTCTAGTACTGAAGGCCTGCAATAGAAAACAAATTTAATACAATTAATGTGTAATATACAGCAAAGAAGAGAGAATATAGTTAAACTAGTTTCCAGTTAAGCACCCAAAGTTACCCAACCCCTCATGGGTAAATGTCCAGCCAAACAGGGTTGGCACAAAACAGGGACAGGCCATTAAGGCCCAAAAGTTTGCCACAAGTCTGAGGTGTCTTCTGGTGGAGACCTGTAAGACATAGGGGCAGAAGGGGCCAGGCTAGGCTGGAAGGAAAAGAGCAAAATCAAAACCCAACTCAAGATCAGTCACCCGATGGGTCTTTCATGCACGTGTCTGTCTCAAGTGTCTCTCTCTGTGTCCCCCGAGGCCCTGGTACAAATCCAAGGCTGAGAAGCAAGTGCAGCTTCTTCACATGTCTCTGTTTCATGTGCCTCCCCCTATTTCTCTTGATCCCCACCCTTCCTTCTCCCTATCTTTAGATTCTCTTCTCTGCCCAGCTCCAGCCTTCCTGGGATGGCGCAGGGAACATGGACCCTGCCCTTTCTATGGCTGTCAATCACACTGTTACTCTGGGCATACATAATATATGCATGTCTGATGGTGGTGTGTGTCAAGGTGTGATCGCTGGGTCTTGTGTGTTATACTCAACTTTGGGAGCTGGGAGCACCGTTCTTTTATTCCAGTTTGGAATCACCGCATTGGTAGCGACTCACTTAGTGAGTGCAATGTGACTTTTCATGGAGGAGACTGAGGCAGTTACTAGGCATCACGGTCAGTTTCTACCTTCTGTGGCCAATATAGTCACCAAGTATAGTCACCTCCAGTCTCCTAACCCCCTCCACATATTCCTTGGATCAGGCAATAAGATACTGAACTGTGGGGAACATGTTAGCTCCCAAACCCTTGTTCTTAAGGAGTTCCTCTGGCCAAACAGACTTTTATCTCAGCTCCCACCCTTCTCCCTACAAACTCTCTTGGGGCCCTCTCCTCCCTAAACTTTCTTAACATTGTATTTTCTATACTGTGTTTCTCCTTCTAGTCTGCTTTCCTAGACTTATCTACTTAAGAATGACCCTCCCTGGGTCTTCCCTAGTGGCTAAAAGGTTAAAGTTTAGCATTAAAAAGCTATCCATAGCCACTGCAGTAGTTTGATCCCTGGCTGGGGAGGGAACCCATATGGTGTGGCACACCTCTTCTGTCTCACCCACTGCTCCCCTCAATAGTGTATTTCAGTACATCTGCCTGTTCTGCTCCCCATTCTGTCTCTGGGAATCCTCTTACCCCCTGTACCTGTGGCCTGTACCCCAGTTCTTGTATGCATACATAAATAAATCTTTTTAAAAAGAAAAAGAATTACTCCATGCCAGTGGAAAAGCCTGGTTTTTTTTGTTTGTTTGTTTTGTTTTTAGTATTTTGAGGTCATATAAGACAGTTTTGTTCTCCTGTTACAGCATGGCAGCATAGCAGAATTTATTTATTTATTGGATGGGTCACCAACACCCATACCAATGATTTCTTCCCTAGTTTTCCTTTAGTTTTTAATATGTGGGATTATAATATTGACATATGATATGGTAGGATTTATTCAAGGAAGAAACGAATAATGAATGAACTAATAAAAGGCCTAAAGTTCTAATATGATGAAATATTTGTTCTGTCTTTTGAACGTGAAGGCTGATTTTAAGAGCTTCTCTATATTGAGTTGAGAGCAAGGGCAGCCTCAGTGTTGCTTGTGTCTCTTCCCTGTCTCTCCTTACTTTCTGCCTTTTCATCAACTTTGTCTTGTTCTTCGCCTGCTTTTTTCTGCTTTTCACAAACATCTTGTTCTCATTTCTTTTTTTTTTTTAAGATTTATTTATTTATGCATACAAAACTGGGCATTTCTTATCTAGATGCTAGCAGATAGAGGGGAAGAGGGAGTGTGGTTCATTAACAGGGCTTCCAGGACTCTCTTGGCTCCTCAGGTTTTGCAGTCAGTCATTGGTCATACAGGACTGGGAGACTAGTACAGCCCAGTGCTTATTGTTTCTTTAACCAGTTCCATTCAGTGTAAACATCAAGCATGTAATCTTAAACTTCCTAGCAGCTATATTTTACATATTAAGAAGAGGTGGGTCAAATTTTCAACTGACTAGAAGCTAATAGATTCTCAATTCATATGCACTTAATAACACAATTTCAAACAACATAAAGTAAAAAATGATGGAATGACTGATAAAGGTACTAGATCTGCCAATATAGTGAGATATTTTAGCATACCTATATCAATAACTTGTAGAACAAGCTGACTGAAAACCAATAAGGGGCTATTCAAACAAACAAGTAAAAGTCTCATCATCTGCTT